GCATATGAGAATTTTGATAATTAGATTTTAGGTTTTAAATATTAATTTTCTTTTTAATATTTTTTAATTTATTGGGTTGTGTTGAGTTTGATTGTCTTTTAATATATAACTCGGAACCCAACCCAACCTAAAATTTGATTTCCTAATTCTAACCAAACCCAATTAAATTAAAAAAATCAATGGTTTGAGTTGGGTTGATCGATTAGACTAGATCAGATTGATTTTTGCCCAACCCTACTTTTACTACTATTTTTCTTTCATTATTAATAAAATATGCAACCATATATTTTTCAAAAAAATAAATAAGATGTGCGGTTCTATAGTATCTTAACATATTCCAATTTTTGGAAGACACAATCTTGCAACAATTAAGTTATTTGTGAAACACTAGTTGACAATCATTATTGACAACTTTGGTGTGTCAAAATTCTGGCCATTAATTTTAAAAAATAATTTTTAGAATGGATGAATGTGATTCTGCCAAGTGTGAAGTTGTCAACTAATGCTGTACAAGTAGCACGATTCTTCATGCAATTGTTTTGTTTTACTTTTCCAACTCCCCCTTCTCTGATTGTTGAAAAGTCACATTCTACGAGTCCGAATCATTCTTCTCCAAGCATAGCCTACTCATTCCCCAATCTCCCATAGCTCCCACTACCTACACATTAGAAAGCCCCAAATTCAAACCACTAAAAATCCCTTAATTTATCAAAAAAAAAAAAAAAATCTTAGCATAAAGAGACATTTTTCTTGACGGTTAGCAAAAATGAACTATACTATGGGCGCGTTTGGCAGGAATTTTAAAAAGTTTGAAATAAACTATTTCTGAAATTTAAAAATTACTTTTAAACATGTTTGAATAATTTTTTAAAAGTATTTTGTGTCAGAAAGAGTTTTTAGATATTTCGTAATGTAGATTCCTCGAAAATCTCTTCTATAAGTAGTAGAAGCTCTATCAACTGAGCCTTCAAACAAAAAGAAAAAAAAAGAAACATTTTTTCTTGAAGGATTAGAAAAAAGAGTAGTTTTATTCATAGTGAACGACTATATTTAATCAATTAATCATCCATAGTGAGTATTATTGATTAAAAAATTATAGTATATATCAATTTAATTTTGAGGGTTGAATAAAGTACTTTTCATTTTTATGCTATACTACACATCATTTTTATGCTATACTACACATCAATTTAACTTTGAGGGTTGAATAAAATTCATTTTTGGGAAGAATACACAAATAAGGGGTTTACTTTTACCAAT